GTTTGCACGACCACTGCGGACAGCGAGCCATCCTGCAGTATGCACCACTCCACTGTGAAAGGAAAGACCGATCAGCCTGAAAACACAGCGGGAAGTGAGGACAGCCGGCTTGGAAGTTCATGTGTGTGACAGAGAGAAGACCATCTGGGGCAGGGCACAGCACGGCGCTCGCGTGCCTTCGCTGGGTGGAAAGGCAGTAGTCACCACCCTAAAATCAGCATTCTAGAAGACAGCCGGGCGCTCGACAGTAAGACTCCCGCACAGCAGAGGTGAGCACTTCAGGAAGATGGGAAGGCGTCCGCTCCCTGGCCCTCACAGGCCCTTGCCCTCCTCCCCTGCACAGCCCTGCAGCCGCTCTGAAGATGCTCGCTGAGTCATGGCAATCTCTGGAACCCTAAGGCCCCTTATCTGGCACTCCCACCCCGTTCGTGTTTCTGGGACAGTAGAGGGGACAGGATGTGGTCCGTGCCTTCACGTGGCCCAACTTTGTCCCAGCTCGGTCAGTGAGGGCGAGGGCCCACCAGCCCCAGACAGCACACAGGCCTGCCCTGGAGTGGGGGCCACAGCTGACAGAACATGAGCCCTGCAGCAGTCCAGCCCAGGGGAGGGGTGCACAGGAAACCAAAGGGGGCCGGGGCGGGGTGGGGGGCGTGACAGCAGGCTCGACGCTACCAGTGACCACGGTAATGGCACAGCAGATGGGAAACCCATGATGTTGTCCCGTGAGTCAGCTTGCGTCACTGTGGACGTTTCTGCAGCAGGCAGAGACTGGGCCAGGGAGGCACGCGGCCCCCCCAAGGATGTTGGGGTTGACAGGGCAGGGCTCATCCTGTGACACATGTCCTCTCGCTGAAATGTCAACTGTCACGGATGTCAGAAGCCACAAGGCCCCTCATCCCCATGACCCAGGCTCTTCTCATGGTTTCACAGATGACACAGGACAGGACGAACACTTGTGAGTAACACCTGGACTGGTATTAAAGCCACAAATACAAACGCTGACAACCTCCTCCCCTTTTTACTGTGCCCCGAGAGTAATGAAAGGAACGAACCACATGGAAAACAGCTCACAGGACCTGTCTCCCCTGCCTGGCACAAAGGTGCGGGTCGGTGGGTTTGTGGACATGAGTGGCTCTTCGCAGAGCCCACTCCAACAAGGCACTTGCATGCCCTCCCAGGGCTGGAAGGCATCAGCCCTAGCCTGCACTCTCACCCACCTACCTGCACAGCCGATCCCTCTTCCAGGGACGTGTCAATTCTGGAATGCCTGTCCTGCCATCGCTACAGATAGGAAGCACGGTGGCGGGCTCCATGGCTGGCGTGACACCCCGGGACTCTGCGCGGGCAGCCATCCAAAAATCTGAGCTCTGTCGTCCCTCCAGATGTTAACACGCCCAAACCACGGAAAGTGCGACATGGACAAGACATTAATTTTGAAGCGAAAAACAATGTGTTAAGCCCGATGCTCTTGAGTCAAGGCGGTATGGGAGAAAGGCCGGGAAGGGATACACGGGCACTAGGACAGGCTTGAACACTGGGTATAGACAAGGGAGAGAAGAGCTGACGTGAAAGGAATTCTACTCCTCCTACACGGGAACGAGACACTAGTTCTGCAGAATCCCAGCACTCGGCCTGCACCAGCAGGAGAAGGCACAGGCAGAGGGGATGCTGGACCTCGAGCTGCTCCTGTGCTCCCTCCCGCAACGAGCCCTACCCTGCGTCATCTGTGAACCAACCCTCGGTCTCCCTGCTGGATCCTGGGCTCTGTGGTCCCTGCTTATGGAGAATCACATGTGGATGGCAGAATGCCTGCACTGCCTAGCCACAGGTAAGTCCAAAACCACGACCTGAACCCTGGGGCCCCGCGCTGCACCCCCGCCATGGGGGCCGCGTCCCAACGCCCGGGGTCCCTGCGCCACCCCACCACAGAGGCTGCAACCCAAAGCCCCGGGTCCCCGTGCCACACCCCCGCCATAGGGACAGCGACCTGATGCCCCGAGTCCCCGTGAAGGACAGGAGCACCTACTGTCCCCTGTCCTATGCCGTGCTCACTGTTTCTTCAGGTCTGGGGTGCGGAAAGGCAGAGGCGGGACCGGACAGAGCAGTGAGGGGAGGAAGTCTGGAAGAGAAGCTGGGGACACTGGGATGCCCTGAGGCAATAGGAGCAACATAACCAGGGGAGGGGACAGACACAGATTTCGTAACAAAGCAGCAGCAGCAGCTCTGAGGCAGGACAGGCCAGCACATCAGACCAGAGAGGGTTCAGGGCGCTCTGCCAAACCCATCCCAGCACATCCACTTCCTTTCCGGCCACCGACACCACACGCCCTCCCCGTGGCTGGTAGACGCTGCAGTGACGGCTGTCCGAGGCTCTGTGTGGTGGGAGCTGGCACAGGCAGGGAGCACACTGGCCCCGGGGAAACCACAGCCAGTCGTGTCTCTCAGCATCCCGCTGCAGGGCAAGTCACCAGGACCCATTTCCACGTAAGGACGGTAATGGCATCCACCACAGAAACCACAGCTGAACGGGGGGGGCGGTTCTTGCATTTCTGTTTTCCCCAGAAATTTACCTCATTCCTACTTATGCTAGAGCTTCAAGTGCACAGCTAAGAATTCTTTTCTAAATAGGAAACATGTGTTTTACCTTCAGAAGACAGTCTCTGGGCGAACTGGACTGTCCCTGCAGGGAGGAGGACGGGCAGCCAGCCGATGTGAATCCCTGCTCTCCCGCGGCGGCCCTCCCCAACCCCACGACTCAGGGTTCACCACTTCCCCGGCCTGCGTTCAATGTCCTGACTCGCGGCCTCTACTGCTCCCAGCTTGGACCCAGAGGGCTCAGGGCCGACCCCACGGTCACTCTCTCGTGGACACAGCAGCTCGTATCTTCATCATGACTGCTGCCATCTCAGCTTCTAGGGCAGAGACTGCTGGTTTGACACAAGGGCCCTCTCAAACTGCACAGCCACCACCAGAATTTACAGAGAGAATCCTGACATCTCCCACACAAAGCCATGGGATGCCTTTGCACAAGGGTGGGCGAAGGGTCCCCAATCCCACCAACCTGAGGCATGATGGCTCACATCCACCCTCAGGAAAGGGGGAGCGTTTCCTGCAGAGGACGAGGGTTTCTCAAGCCCCGAAGCCATGTTCTGGGGTTAGTAAGCTGCAGAAGCTGCTGGCTGCAGTGAGAAAGCAGCGTTTTTGTGGGTCGTCACTCAGAGTGACTAAGTTAGACCGGGGAAAGAGTGACAAATCGTGCATATTTAACATATCCCATAGCAAAGATGAGTGCTTTTTTCCAGAAAGGAAAGGGCCAAGCTTAAAGGAGGCAATGCTGATGCAGACACGTCAGGAAGATTTCTTTAAAAACATGTGGGAAGACACACGGTCCCCCTGTGCCCTGGTGGAAGTCTGTGGCACCATGATGACAGGGCCTCCTCACGCAGAGCCTGGATCCGCAGAACCGCTGAGCAAGGAACCAGGGGCAAACCAAAATCTCAACGGAGAAACAATGGAGTTTTCCCTACAAATACACTGAGAAGCAAACGGCAAGGACAGAGGGAAGCCATACCCTAAGACGGTCTTTGCTGAGCGGCCAGCACAGGCCTCAAGCGGGCTGTGAGCCAACAAACACGCAGCACATGTCCTTGAACCAGACAGCTGGTGTCTGATGACCTGAGGCAAGCACACCATGGCGTGGGGCTTTTTAACATTTTCTACGTTCTAAAGATGTGCATGGAGGTCTGCGTGAGTGACGGGACACAATGTCTAGGCATCTACTTCAGAATTACTTGAAAAGGAAAAAGAAAAAGCACTGAACCACCCGGCCACAGGTTGAAGAGAACCTAAAAGTAGTTCTATCAAACATTGTTTAAATTTCTACTTGCTGGACACAAAGTGGCAAGCATCCTCAAGAATCCACTGTCAGGCCCTTGAGAGAGATCTGGGAGAGTGAGCATGTTCCGTTGTACGTGTACCTGTGGAGCCATGCCCACACAACGACAGGCCCGCAACACACATAGCACGCACATGGACACACGCACAGTGCACACGCGGACAGACACACACAGCATGCACGCGGACAGACACATGCACAGTACACACACAGACACACACATAGCACCCACATGGATAGACACATGCACAGCATGCACACACACGGACAGACCCGCAACATGCATAGTACGCACACAGACTGACATACACACGTGCACAGCATGCACGCAGACACACACACACATACACAGATACAGTACACACATGGACAGACATACACAGCATGCACACGGAGAGACATACACAGATGCATGTATGGTACACACATGGATGCACGCACAGCATGCACACGGACAGACATACACACATACTACACACACAGTACACACACAGATAGACACATGCATAGCATGTACACACATGGACAGACATGCAACAGGCACAGCACGCACACGGACACATGCACAGCACACACGTGGACAATTACACAGTATACACATGGAGAGACATACGCACAGCATGCACAAACACGGACACACATGCACAACATGCACACAGACATACAAGCACAATACACATACGGATGCACGCACACTATGCACACAAACACATGCACGGACAGACACAGCAAATGCACAGAGCACACACACGTGCACACATGTACCTCTACCACACACGGGGACGGCACACACATGCACATGCACAGAAAGCCACCATGTGCCTGCATATCCCGCACTCACACAGCCCACATGTACATGGGCATATACACACATTCTAAAGGGGGATGCAGCCATAGGCTGACCGCATGTGCATGCCAGGAAACACAGGAGCTTGGACTGGGCACCGCTCTTATTCTATGTTCTCCAGCTCCAGAGAGGAGAACAAAGCGGGTGGGCACACGACAGGCCCTGTTGACGAGGGGCCAGCATCAAGCAGTGGGGAGCTGTGTGCAGGCAGGAAGGAGCCACATGCAGGGGTATAGTGGCCCCGTGAGTGCACAGTACCTGTCTTAGCTCCTGGGCATCCCCCTCGGAAACCAATGGCTCACTCATCTGCAGTGGAAGCAGCTGGGCCTCCTGGCTCGCCAAGCAGGGCTCGCGGTGCACAGCATGGTCCATCAGCCCAGACGCTGAAATGGAAAACCAAACGGCAGTGACATCGTCTGGAGGTGTGAACCACGTGAGAACTTTCAGACCTTCCATGGGAGGCCATCAGGGCTCTCTGGACAGATGCAGTGTTTCCAGCTCACCCACGGTCTGGCAGGACTCGGCTCTGCTATGCTGAGCTGGGGTAGGGGCTGCCTATGTGCCCTCAGACCCTTGCCCAAGCTGCCTCCACACCCTGCTCTGATCAGAGCGGGCACGGACTGTGCTCTGGGTTTGGCTCCATAACTGCTCTCGCAGGAAAGGGCCTTCATTCGCGTGCAGACATTTCTCTTCTCTGGGGGAAAGGGCTATAGGTGGGAGCCTGGAGAAACGCACACAGAACACCCTACTGGAAACCACGGCATCATCTTGTCCCCCACACAGTGCTGAGGCTCTCTGAGTGCAGGAAAGGGCCAGTTGGCTGGCTGGCTGTGTGGCTGCACGGATGCGGGGGTGCGTCAGAGCCCTGTACATGGCCAGACCCCGCTCAGGGGTGTTCCCAGGCACAGGGCACCTGCACCTAGCCAGGCTCCCCAAAGGGCGGAAGGGCAGCCTGGAGATGCGGTGATAACCAAGGGGATCTTGGAAGCGGCCGTGGCGTGCGACCCGTCCTTTGTTTCAAGCGCTGACTCGAACCCCAACCCTGGCACCACAGGGCCCAGAGAAGGGCCTGCACCTCCCCCCAGGACACAGCACAGCCACGTTCATGGACAGCGATGCCGGGAGGCAGATGGCTGTCCGGAGGCCAGACCGGCTCCTCTGAGCACTTCTCTGCTCCTGAGCAACGGGAGGCCCAGAGGGCCCATAGGACCCTGGCGGCAGGGAGCAGAGCTGCGTGATGAACACATCATCAGGAGAGGAAGGACCAGGCCTGAAGAGTAGGAGCCCAACTGGCCATTCCCAGCACACAGAAATACCCCTGCTATGCTCATTTCTCAATGTAATCCCTGAAGACGGCCTGGCTGAGCAAAGAAAGCATGGCCTCGTCCAGGAGAGATGCAGGCTGGAGCGAGGAAGACACGGGGTTCTCAGGGTCCTGGAGCGGAAGAGGGACCAGGCCCGATGCAGAGAGCTTGGGGACTGGTGCATGAGCAAGAGCTGTGCAGAGGCAGGACCCCGGGTCCCGGCCTGCCTCTGCTGGAGGAGGGTGTGTGCAGAAGCCCCTCTGCTCTGTGTGCGCCCTGGGAAGCCTACAGAGACCCGCCACACCGCAGGTGTATTCAGGCAGCCAGAAAAAACCCTAACTGTACACAATGCACACGGATGTCTGCTCATCTACGTCCTTCTGTAAGAAAAATAAAAGTTGATCGCAACCCAGCAAACTGATGTCACAACCTGTGTTCTAAAACCTCAAAGCTCTGTCCCAGTCTGGCTCCCTAAAGGCTTTTAATTAGCAAGGAACTTTCTGCAGCACGCAAATCAGCGCTGTTCAGCCTCACGGGATCTAAATGTCACTACCTAAAACGTTACATAACGACAAGCACTTTTCTGAAACCGTCAGAGCGAGCTGGAAGACATGATGGCAGAAATAGCAAACGAAGACGTGAACTACCAGCTATTATTAGCCTCAAGAAAAGGCCAACCCATGCCCACGACGTTAACCAGCCCTCGGTGCTAATGCGATGACAAACACTGGTTCCACCTCCCCACTTGGCCTTGGCCCTCCCCTTCCCTGCTTTCTACTCCCCAGGCTCATGGACTCCTGCTCCAGCCAGCCTGGCAGCCCATCCTTGGAGGCTCACACACCATCCCCGGTCCCCATCCCTAGCTCCCCATCCATGGCCTGCTAGTACCCCGTCCCCGGCACCCTGTCCCCAGCCCCTGGTCCTCGTCCCTGGCACCCTGTTCGTGGTCCACTGGTCCTCTGTCCCCGCCACACTGGTCCTCTGTCTCTGGCACCCTGTCCCCAGCCCACTGGTCCTTCGTCCCTGGCCCACCGCCACTCTGTCCCTGGCCCCCGGGGCCCTGCCCGTCCTGCTCCTCATCTGCACACATCACACACACAGACGGCCCCCAGCACAAGTGTGATGGCATGTCCTCCACTCTGCAGCTCCATGAGTGACAACCTTCCCTCATCTGTCCTGCCATCATTCCGCTTGCACACCTTTGATATTAACATGCTTGGTACCGCACTGGTTCTCTGAGACCAAGGCCTGCGTCTGACTCACACGTGGGCCTGGCCCTGGGCCCCTTTAGCACTGCTGTGCTTTCCATTCCAAGACCCAGAGCTATCTTCTGGAGGGACACGCTGATATTTCTTTGAATATTTAACGGAACAGGTTTTACTTAAGCAGAAAGCCCAAACAGAGAATTTTTCTTCCTGGAATACACTGAGTCACGGTATCTTTCACGGCCAGCAGGATGACACCGGGCACGGAGCTCGGCACCCCTGGTGCTCTGTATTGAGACCTGAGTCACTGACTCAGTTCAACGCTGTGAGCTATCTTCTGAAAACATCGATTAAAATGGTTTCGTCTCTAGAGCCACTAATAATCACAGTCAAACACAATCAGCACAAAGTGTTCAAGCTGCAAGGGGACTTACGCATGATCTCACTTCCTGGGAACAACAGCTGGGCTGGCAGGGGCATCTGCAGATGCCAGTGTCCTTTATGGACAGGTCTGCATCTGAGCAAGAACTCCCCAGCCCACTCTCACCCAAAGCCTGTCTGCTCACGGGACCATTTTCCTCCTTGTCCCTGGGACCTGAAAGCCTCATCCATGACACAGGGAAGGAAATGCCTACCTTACCCAGGGACAGACCCAGAAGTTTAGAGAACTGGGGTGGGAAGCCCTTTCCACAAAATCCCAAGTGCCCAAGCCCTCAACACTGCAGGAAGGTAACAGAGAGAGCAAGCCTACTCAGTAGAGAGAAAGTAAAGCCCTCGGCAAATGTACCTTGGACCCAAGCAAGAGTCCTCGGAAGATCAAGTGGGTGAGAACCGACAGCCCCCAAAGGTCCACAGGGGCCAGGGGTGGTCTGTGAGAGGTCAGCGTGGCGCCCGTGTCCTAGTGACCGCATGGCTGGGGGGGGGGGTCTGTCAGTGGTCAGCGTGGGGTCGGTGTGGCGGGGACGCGGGGGGGGGGGGGGGGGTCTGTGGTCAGCGTGGCGTCTGTGTCCTAGTGACCACATAGGTGGGGGTGTCTGTTTGTGGTCAGTGTGGTGTCCATGTCCTAGTGACCACAAAGGTGGGGGGGGTCTGTCTGTGGTTAGTGTGGTGTCCATGTCCTTGTGACCACATGGGTGGGGGGTCTGTGAGTGGTCAGCATGGTGTCCATGTCCTAGTGACCACATGGGTGGGGGGGTCTGTCTGTGGTCAGCATGGTGTCCGTGTCCTAGTGACCACACAGGTGGGGGATCTGCGAGTGGTCAGCGTGGCATCTGTGTCCTAGTGACCACACTGGTAGGGAGGGGTGCCTGTCTGTGGTCAGCGTGGTGTCTATGTCCTGGGATTGGAACTCCACCACTTGAAGCCCAAGTCTTAAATGACAGTGTCCCCAACGTGTATTACTGTGAAATAGATGTTTGTGCTCCTGATGCCAGGGGCTGTTCTGGGTACTTGAGAGGTGGTCATCAGGAGCCCAGCTGGGTCCAGTCCGGACGGAGTACATGTCCCAGTGTGAAAGTGTGGCAGACCACCAGAGGGCGAGTGTTGTCTCTTAAATGAGGTGGTCAGAGAAGGCTTCTCTCCAAGGTGGCAGTTGGCAAACAAGAAAGACAAAAATAAGTACCAAAAAGACCATAAAATGCTATGCATGGGCCATGCTGTGAAGTCTTCTTCCTAAAACCTGTCACGCCAGGACCCTGAGACAACATGAAATACAGTGCAACTGGGAAATAGTCTACAAAACCTCAGCACAACTCCTGCAAGCTGCTGAGACCCTCAAAGCAAGGAGAGCTCAGGGAGCCGCCACAGGTCACATGGGAGTCCAGACGGGGGTCCTGGGACAGCAAGCACGGGGGGATCTGGAGAGAAGGCGGACAGGCTTGCTAGCTGTGACAGAGAGGATGGCAGCCGCAGGGGACCATCCTCCCAGCTCGTCCCCAAGCCTGAAAAGACCCTACTTTAAAGGTACTGTACACACAAACAGTCATTTTCCGCTGCTTTTCCCCAGGGTGGATGCAGTCCACCAGTGTCATTCCCAGCCCCTGAAGCCCAGGAGACCCTGGCGCCTGCCCCTGGCCGATCCACCTCCACCACGCAGGACTGGAGGTCTCTGGAAAGTTCTCCAGACGCTGACTCAAAGGCAAACCTGGGTTCCGTGGCAACACTGCCACCTGCTGGCCACGCATTCTACCCGACCGGCTTCTGGAGGAGAGGCATCTGTTTCTGAGAAGTCAAGTCATGGTTTCCACCTCCACGGCCTCTGTTTTCCAGCGTGGGAGAGGGAAAACACCGGTGCTGGCAAAAAGCAGCAGGAGAGACAGAGAGGGCCTGCCCAGGCCTCCCGCGGAGCCCTCGGAAAGCCGGACACTGTCCCACGTGTTGGCCTCCTCCCTGCTTCCCCTCCTCCCCCACAAACACCCCCATACTCTGGAGGCAGGGTGCCTCACTGAGGGAGGATGGCACCTCTCGGTCCACGTAGACAAGACACACTGTGGGAACCCCCCTGCTCCCGCCCCTGAGGCTCAAGTGAGCACCAGGGTGAACATCCATCTGTCATCACAATGTGGTCCCGTTCCCTCCGCACACACACCGTGGTCTGTGACGGTGATGGGTGAGGCCACACATTCCCAGTCCAGGTCCTGCTGGGAAGGTGTCTGAGGATGTGGTGAGGGCCCAGCACCAGCTGACCTTCCGTGAGGGAGCCTGTCTGTGCCCTCCCTGAGGAGGAAGATGTGCAGCCCATGTGCCCTTCCCGACGGCGGGCCCTGAGGAACCTGCACTCACCTGGCTTCCTGCCGGGGGACCACAGTCCTGGCATGCACCTCCCACCCTCCCTCCCTGTCTGTACCTGGACACGCAGGGTCAGAGCGGGCCCAGCAAGCCTCTTCTCCCCTGTATGGTATGTGCTTCCTCTGCCACCTGTCTCGTGACACCCTGTGCCGTGTCCTCTCTCTGGAACCACCCACGGATGTGCTGGAGCTCCGTGAGAACAGGATGGCAATTGCCTGGCCCAGGGAGTTCCCCATAAGCACTAGCAGAATGAACAGCTGGATGTGTTACCAGCCCTGGGGCTCCTCACGGCCCAGGCCCCTCCCAGAGAAACAGGAGGGTGGGGGCAGCCGATGTCCTGCCTGAGGCCTCTCTCAGGCTCACTGCGACTGCCCATCCTTCTCAGCCCCTTTATGTGCTGCCCAGTGCTGCCTTGAGAAAAGGGCCAGAGAAAAATCTGGAAATGCCACGAAATTATATTTGTACACTAACACTTCCGATATTTTGGTGCTTATGGGACCACATCTATTTTCAGGTACATTTCTTTCAAAACACGAAGTCATGTAGAATAATGTAAAAATATTTATGTGTTAGGGAACCAGGTTACACATTAGCACTGAAAAACAATCACTTTAGAGCAAAAAGAACCTAGAACAGTCATAAGCATACTCCTCCTGTAACAGACATCCAGCAATCAGAGTTAATAATAAGGAAGGACTACTGGCCTGTTAGCAGGATCATGGTAACACAGACACAAGCTCACCTGGGACAGTAGAGAAAATAGGGTATTTTGTGACTTTGTGATTTCTTAGGCTGGGCACAAAACAAGCTGACGGGGAATTTACCCAGGTAAGGATTTCTGTCATGGAGAATGACAATCTGGCAGAGGGACAGGTAGCTTCCGAAGCCAACGGGACGCACAGCTACAGCATGGCAGGGACTCCTACAGAGCCAGAAAACCAAGCAACGGCAGAGCAGAAAACAAACACAGACGAGGCAACCCACAGAGAAAACTCATGATGCCCGAAAACAAGCAAGTAGCATCAGACTCGCCATGCCACCGTCAATCACAGACATGAGAACACACATGAGCGAGATGCCACCTGACAGCATCCAGATGGCAAACCCGGGATGTCAGACGGCCCTGGGCTGGGACCCAGGACCCAGGACCCCTGCTGCAACTGCCCAGCTCCATGCTCCCACAGAGAGACTCAGAGGGACAGGAGGAAGGCCTGCAGACCCAAAGAAACTATGCCGCAGTTTTCAGAGATTGATTCGTAAATAAGTCCCTGGAAGGCGGGACAGGATGACTCTGATGCTGCGCTCAGGGGTGGAGGCACTGGACGCCCACCAGGGTGGGCAGGTCAGTGCTAGCAAGTCCCACGGAGGAAAGGAGGAAAGCCTCATGTGGAGCCTTCCTCTGTTCTGAAAGGGCCACCAAGCCCTGCCAACCTCGGGGACAACCCATCCAGCCCTCAGGTGTGAGACACACCTGAGCTCTGGGACTAGGGAGAATGGTCTGCAGGGTCTTCATTTACAAACAATGGATAGTCAGTGGTGCACTGCAGGCGTGCTGTGTTGGACCTCGACCTTGGAGACTAGTGCGCAGGCCGGGCCGGAGCTCACTCACCCGCCTGCCAGACGGTGCAGCCCTTCTCTGCTGGGGAAGATATTCTGGCACTTTTGGGCATCAAGGCGCCTTCTAACAATTCCATCTTCTGGCTGAATTGCACCTCCAAAATGGGGAGAGCCTCTGGCATCCTGGCGGATATCAGGCGATAAGCTATGTCTGGCTTCCCAATGAACCGCTGGCGAATGCTAATTTCATAAGGCGTGTGAACCTTAATGTCATCTATATCTTCTCTTTCAAATCTGTGCATGAGCAAAGAGCTTGAGTCATGGATTTCCAACCCCGACACAAGGAGGGTGAGACTTCCTGCTTTAACATGATACCCTGTCCCCTGGGAGACAACAGCAGGAATTCGGACCACCACCCCTTCTTTTCCAAGAGCTTTGGGACCAGCCGTTGCGGTGCCTTTCTTGGGATTCGATTCTGTCGGCATCTTCCAAAGCTTGGAGCTAAAGGGCCACCAAGAAGGGGACTCCAGCTCTGTCAGCAACCTAAAAGCCCAAACAAAACACAGAAACACAGTGAACTGAGTGTTAATGTTTTGAGAACCGCTTTAGCCTTTATAAAGCAGTTAGCCTTTTTATAGTGTTCTTTTCCACAAGCAACCCACGAAGCAGAAGAGCAGGAAGCACTCTGCCTGTTTTAGAAAAGAAAACTGAGGCTAAGCGCAGCATCTCTTAGGGTTACAGACACAAGCCCATAAGCAGTAAACACACAACAGGAACACACGTCCTCTGACTAGAATGCTGCCCTTTTCACATCGGACTGTGGGTAATTCTGACTCAAAATAATCTGCAGTAACCTGTCCTGTTCAATGTGGTAACAAGCACATGGGTCTACAGGCACCTGAGTGTGACTGACCTAAGTGGGGACTGAATTTTCAACCGAAGTACCTGTGGCTAGTGGCTACAGCACTGATGGGACCACTGTGAAATATCCACGAATACCAAGAGATCTACCTCGTAGCAAGAAAATGGAAGCAGAAAAGGAAGAAGAAAGGAACACAGATCAAATGGCATAAGCAGAAAATAAAACTCAAGAGGGCGGGGTTAGACTCCACCATATTAGTAATTATGCTACATATAAATAGATGAAATCCTCTAATTTAAAGGCAGATTGTCAGCCTGGATTAAAGAAAAAACCAACAACATACAGCGGCATCTTCTTCACAATAGACACTGTGAAATATAAGGACACAGAAACATCAAAAACACCGGGGATGGGGGAGGCCTGGGGGGAGATACATTGTGCCAAAAGAAAGCTCTCAGAGCCTGTTACCTGGGAAAAAGACAGACAACACACAATAAAAAAGAAAGTCAATTTGACAAAAAAAAGTTAGTGCTAAACATGTATATCTAACAAAACTCCAAAATGCACTGATCAAAAATTAACAAAATTATAAGGAGAAATAGACAATCACAGCTGTAGACTTTAACAAATTTTCTCCATAATTAATACAGCAAGAAGACAAAAATGACTAATAAGAACATAAACACTATTCAATTCACTCAGCCTGGTGTTTACTGAACATTATCCGACCACTGAATGCACTCTCTTTTAAAGTACATTCAGAAAAAAGAGCAACACATCTCAATAAATTCCAAGGTCTGAAACCCTACAGAGCATACCATCTGTCCCCAAAGAAATGAAATCTGAAATTAATGACAAAACACTAATACAAATTCCTCAAATATCTGGAGATTAAGCATAATTCTAAATAAAGGGAATCAGAAAAGTGAATGAAACAAAATGGAGTGAATGAAACAAAACCGTATGTAGGAAATGGCAGGATGCAAACAGTGCAGTCATGAGGAAAATTTGTAGCTCTCAATGCATGCATCTGAAAATGTCTTAGAAAGGGTTAAAATCAGTGATTTAAGCTCCTGTTCCAAAAAGTTATAAATTAAACCCAAAGTAGAACAGAAAAGCAGAAATCAATGAAATTGAAAACAGAAAAAAGAGAATATTAACAGAGCCCAAAGTTGGTTTTTCGAAGTCATTTTTAAAAAGTAAACCCTTACAAGAAATGATCAAGAATAAAACAAAGAGGGGCGCTTGGGTGGCTCAGTCGGTTAAGCCTCTGCGTTCTGCTCACGTCGTGATCTCAGGGTCCTGGGATTGAGCCCCACATTAGGCTCCCTGCTCAGCAGGAAGTCTGCTTCTCTCTCTTCCTCTGCCCCTCCCCCTGCTTGTGCTCTCTTGGTCTCTGTTAAATAAACAAATAAAATCTTAAAAAAAAAAGAATAAAACAAAGAAACTGCATATTACCAATATCAGGAACAAAAAAGGCATCACCATAGATTCTTTAGCGTTTGAAATAAGGGGATATCATATCCAACTTCACACCAAGAAATGGGACAACTTACATGAAACAGATAAAATACTCCAAACACCCAACCTTCCAAAACTGCAACAAGAAGTAGTTTAAGACTATAAATACCCGGGCGCCTGAGTGGCTCAGTGGGTTAAGCCTCTGCCTTCAGCTCAGGTCATGATCTCAGGGTCCTGGGATAAAGCCCCACATCAGACTCTCTGCTCAGCAGGGAGCCTGTTTCCCTCTCTCCCTCTGCCTGCCTCTCTGCCTACTTGTGATCTCTATCAAATATATAAATAACCTCTTAAAAAAAAGAATATAAATACCCATAATGAAGTGGCAGCAAGAGAAATTTGGAAAAAATCCCATTTACGAATATTCCAAAAATAATAAAATACCTTAGGGATAATTTGAACCAAGGAAGTGAAAGGCTTGTATTCTGAAAACAAAAACAAAAACAAAAACTAAAACTGAAGACACAAACAAATGGAAATACATACCATGCTCATGGATGGCAATAATTAATACTGTTAAAATGTCCACACTACCCAAAGCAACAGACAGATTTAATGCAATCCTTATCAAAATACCAGAACATTTTTTTCACAGAACTGAACAAATAATACTAAAATTTGTATGGAACCACAAAAAACCTCAACTAGCCAAAGTGATCTTCAGAAATAAGAACAAAGCTGGAGGTATCACAATCCCAGATTTCAGGATTTATGACCAAGTTGTAGGAATCATAACAGCATGATACTGGCACAAAAACAGACATGCAGATCAAAGGAACAGACCAGAGAGCCCGGAAATAAACCCACACTTATGTGGTCAGTTAATCTGTGACAAAGGAGTCAAGAATAGACAACAGGACAGTCTCTTCAACAAATGGTGCTGTGAAAACGGGACAGCCACATGCAAAAGAATGAAATAGGACCCCTTCTTATACCATACACAAAAATTACCTCCAAATGGATTAATGGATTAAACTGAGACTTGAATCCATAAAACTCCTAAAAGAAAACATATACAGTAAAATCACATTGACATCGGCCTTAGTACCATATTTACAGATATGTCTCCTGAGACAATGGAAACAAAAGTGAAAACAAACTATTGCGACTACATCAAAATAAAAAGCTTCTGCATAGTGAAGGAAATCACTGACAAAACAAAAAAGTAATCTACTGAATAGAAAAAGATATTTGCAAATGATACATCTGAGAAGGGGTTAATAGGCAAAAGATATACAACTCATAACCAAAACATACAAACAACCCAATTAAAAAATGGGCAGAAGATCTGAATAGGCATTTTTTCAAAGACGACATCCATGTGGCCAAAAGACACACCAAAATATCTTAACATCACTCATCATAAGGAAATACAAATCAAAACCACATTAAGATATGGAATGGCTAAAATTAACAACACAGGAGAAAACAGGAGTTGGTGAGCATGCAGAGAAAGGGGAACCCTCATGCACTGTTGGTGGGAATGCAAATTGGTGCAGCCACTCTGGAAAATGGTAAGGAGGTTCCTCAAAAATTAAAAATAGAATTACCATATGATCCAATAATTCCACTACTGGGTATTTACCCAAAGAAAATAAAAACACTAGTGATAAAGATATTGTATCCCTATGTCTACTGCAGCATTATTTATAGTAGCCAAAATATGGAGGCAACCCATCTCTCCACTGATGAATGGATAATGAAGAGGACACACACACACACACACACACACACACACACCAGGGACTATTACTCAGCCACAAAAAAGAATGAAGTCTTGTCATTTGCAAGACTCCATTGTGGATGGAGCTAGATGGTATTATGTGAAGTGAAATAAGATAGAGAAAGACAAATGCTACATGACTTCACTTACATGTAGAATCTAAACATGTAAGCAAAAGAATAAACAAACAAAGAGCAGAAAGAGACCCATAAATAGAGAAGGGATGGTGGCCAGAGGGGAGGGTTGGGGGAGAGGGTGGTACAGGCTTCCAGTATGGAGCAGATAAATCATGGAGATAAAAGGTACAGCCTAAGGAATACGGTCAATGATACTGTAATATCAACACAGATGGTAGTTACGCTTGTGCTGGGCATAACATTCACCTGTCAAATCACTACGTTGCACACCTGAAACTAATACGACATTGTGTGTCAATGATACTTAGCTAAAAAAAAAGGGGTGCATGGACATCCTCCCTCAGTGAACTATACTGTAGTGTGCTTTCCCCTAATTGGAACAGTGTCTGAAAATGTATGTGAGGAGTCACAGGTAACAAGGGAAACTGTACCGGCTCAGTAGAGGGGGCCAGTAACAAGACCCCACCCTAATTCTCCCAGCCAGGGTACAGGTGCAGGGAAGTGAAATCCCACCCCCAGCCAGCAGTGACAGGTGTCTGTACCTACTGCAAGGCACAAACTAGGGCCAAGTGGGGAATTGGGGCTCTCGCTCTCACATGGCAGTAAGAGGAATCGGTGTTTTTCTTTCTTTCTTTTTTTTGGAAGACAGAAGGTGAGAGGGGAAGGAGAGAGAGAATCTCAAGCAGGCTCCATGCCCAGCATGGAGCCAACATGGGGCTTGATCGCACCACCCTGAGGTCACGGCCTGAGCTGAGATCAAGAGTTGGAAGCTGAACCCACGGAGCCACCTAGGTGCCCTAAGAGGAATCAGCTTCTTACTCCCAGGGCACCATCAGGGAAAACTAAACAAAAACAAGACCCAGAGTTGTCCAGGATACAATGAAGAATCACCCCGCCAAGAACCAGGAAAAGTTCCTCTTAAATAAAAAATACAAGCAAATGCCAAAACCAGGATGAAACTGATGGGATTACTAGACAGGGATTCTAAAGCAACATCAGAAAAGTATTTCCACAAGCAACTATGGACATGTTGGAAATAAATTAAACCACAGTCTTAGCAGAGAAACAGAAGACACAGTAAAGTATCTGAGAATTTTTGAACTTAGAAATACAAGAACTGATATAAAAAATGGGTCGATGGAGACTGCAGCCAGAGATGAAAGATAAAAGAATCCATGAGATTAAAGGTCAAAGAAGAGAACAACAGAGAGAAAACACTAAAAACAACAATGAGAACAAACCCAAGGGTCTAAAACAAAAGACTGAACATTCACATCACCAGCACTCCAGCAGAAGAGAAAGA